ATAGTTTATAATCTGCATCTTATTCAGGGCACTGTGCGAAAACTGAAGCAATTATAAAATATTTTGTGAAAGAAGATGATTTTAGTGGTATCCGATGGTTGGTCATTGCAGACGATGACACTTTGTTAAGGTAAATGAGGATCAATTTTGACAGGTTTTAAAAAAAAGTGGAACGTTAAGAAGCAGTTATATTAAATGCATAATCATCATCCAAAATTTGCAGTGTTCCCAGGCTGTATGAACTATTGGCCTGTTACGATCCCCAGCAAAAACTTATCTTAGGCGAGCGTTATGGTTTTGGTTTTGATGTAAATGGTGAATACGGTTACGATTACCCAACCGGAGGGGCAGGGTATGATTTTCTAAACATTGAAACTAATTGCGTTTGAAATATAGACGCTATAGTGATTCAAAAATGATTTTTTTTTTTGGCAGATGCTAGCTAATCATCTTCATGACAGTGAATACAAACTAAATTGAGGAGTAACCGTAGGTATTTCAGGATGGTTTTTTCACGAAAAGCTGCTGAACTGTTAGCTTCAGAATGTGAGTGTCCGAGTATCGACGCGCCAGACGACATGATCTTGGGTATATTTTGTTCACCTTGGTTAATGCTGCTCCGCTTTTGAGCACGCTGCTTTAATCGTCGTAAAGTTTTTACTTTCAGGCTGGTGTGGAGAACGGCTAAAAATCCCAGTAATCCATTCTGCCGCATTTCATCAAGCCCAGCCAATGGACTATTCAGCTCTGTACTTAGGGCGAATCAATCCGATCTCTTTTCACAAATTTGAAGCTATTGATCCATATTCTGTTTACGTAGAATTGCTTCAAGATCATCGACCGTTTGTTAATTTTACCAGAGGAGTTCATGAAGAACTGTAACAAAAGCTGAAGGAAATTTTAGATGACATTGAAAGAGGACTACAAACTAATATTGGGGACAAATCTGCCAAAGAACTTAGAAAAGTTAATATTTTTCTGGTAGTTAAAGCATCAATGGAAAATTCTTTTGTTCTGGTGATAAAAAGTTAAAATTATAACAGATTTTTGCAGGGTTATATAACGATTTTTTTCTGCATTATTTTTCAGCTTCATTTTTTGTCACCCTACGGTGTCCGTCGATCAAATTGCATCTTAATACTTGGTCTGTTTTTTTTTTTTTCTAATATACATATGCATACATTCCATCATCATGCTGCTACTTAACAAATGATTCTCATCTTTTTCGATTGTGGATTGCATATTCAGGAACAAAATTACTTCGTCTGCTCAATGTGACAAATTGACAATCTGTACAACCATCGCTTTCTTCTAGCTACGCTCTTCTAGTTCTAATTACTTATTTGTTTTGATACTTCCACTTAATGTTTATCTGAATTCTCTATATAAATTTCGTTACTCTCACAAAATTAAACATCATTTAAAATTGAATTTTTTTTCTTTCTTTTTCCTGCAGATAAATACTTAAATACATTTGTAAACCACATATTTCTTCAAAAATTCTGCAACTGATAACCGGTTATAGCACCAACAGAATTAACTCTCCGAATTAGACCAACTGTAGATAATACGAGAATTCCTGTTGCCGCAAATGGAAAATGAGTTTTTTTTTTTTTTCGAGATGAAAAACTAAAAATTTTTGCATCATTTAATCTTTGCTATTTGTGAAAACCTGTAAACAACTTATTTAAAATGAAGGTTTCAATGTAAAAGAGCTAAAAAGAGCTTTTCAAAACTGTCCATTCTGGCAAAAAATTTGTATTATCGATGCAGTAACTGTTTTACAGTGAAAAATGAAGAAAGTTAATGTGAATTTTTTTTTTTCCGCACCTACTAGACTGACTATTCTAATAAATAATTTGACAGTGGTACCTTAGCAAGCGTTATATATTCATATCAAAACATTTTGCTGAATACATCATTCACATGGCAGACAGACAATTTTTACACCTTTTATTTCCTGATTTCAACAAAAAGGAAACTAAAAGCGAGCCAAACGACATTAACATTTCTCCTTTGGGTGTGCTCAATATGAGAAAAATTAAACCATTAATACAATTAAAATGAAATTCACAAAAAAAAAAAAACTAATCAGTGTAAAAAAAGCCGAGTTAAAAACAAGTCATCTACAGCCACTTTGTTTATATATTCATCTTCTTCTTCCCCTACAATTTTTTTTTAATTGACACTTCCATCCAAATTACCGATTAATCCGTTGGCAACACGAACACCGTAGATCTGATCCGATGTTTTATTCATTCTCCATCGACTCACTACCCCTCCAAATACACAGTCACTTTCACTTTCACCCCTCTCGTAGAAAGATCTACATACTCAGGTACTTCGAAAAACGCATATAAAAGCTCCTGCCATTTGGGCAGTACCCTTTACCTTTCCGAAGGCAAATCCATGCAAATTTTATGCCAAAACTTGCAAATAAATACATCTCTCAAAACAGCATCAACCTCATACTGTCATGTATGCACACGATTTAGGAACTTTCGGCCCCATACAATTCAAGTCATGCAAAAAGGAAATTTCAAGTCACATTAAGATAAAGCTATTGAAAACACAAAAGCTAAAGAAACTTTCCTCAATTTTTAAAAAAGCCTAGTTTTCTCATAAACCAGCCTACTGTTGAATAAATCCTGCAACGGCAACTGTGTTTATCACCCTAAGTTTATATCACAGAAGAAGCTAAATTTTAAGTACTATATAGAGATTTCAAACAGAATTTATTATAGTAACGGCAATAGCTGCGGACTGCTATTACTTATTTTCTTTATGTACGTATATTTAAATACATATATCAGATTTTGTTAGGTGCAGCCAAATGCCGATGGCCTAATTTTTAAGTGGAACCGCTATACCCAACAACAAATAAAAGTCATCTCGATTAAAGAAATTTTCTCATCAAGAAAAAACTAGAAAAAAAAAAAGAATAGAATCACAACAAAGATAAACTGAAAAACTCTGTGAAGTAGTAGGTCGCAGTCATTCTAACACAGCACTTCCTTATAAGCCCGAAGAGGAAAAATTACCAACTCAATAGCAGTACGAATTTCTTTTGTTTAGAAAAAATACTGGCCAAAGTAAACAACAGCATCAGTTCAGCATAATTTTTCAAGTTCATTATAACTACTTTTGGTCTGGAAAGGATACAAAGTTTTGGCAGACTTTGCTTTGAAACCCAATAAAAAACCCTCCCATATATTATACCTATTAGTCGATGCTATAACCTGTTATAGTCAACTGGATAAGCACATCCTAAATATCTTTTTCACTGACAGTTAAGATTTCTAAGAGAGCCTCCGTTTACTACATCTTCAAAAATAATTTTAAAAGCAGTAATTTTTTAGTGCAGCACTGCTGTTAAACGGTAATCAGACGAAATTTGACCAAAAGAACAGTAAAACAAAAGCAATAATCACTAAAGAACAATGTACAGGCGTTTTTAAAAAATACATCTGAAACGTTAATCAGTAATTCCACTGTACCAAGCAGACACATGCTATTTTTGGAACACTTATGATGAGCCAACCAAAAATGGCAAAAAGTACCAAATACAAGAAACTTCTCTCATGCTCCTTTAATCACAGCATTTCGATTTAAAGTAGTAGTTGACAATGTTATGATTCAACAGACATTAATTAAGGAAAGGCAAAAATTTCCATTTAAATCAGTTAAGGAGACACTTCTTTAAAACGTATAACAAATGCTTTTGGCAGCCGACTTCTACTTCCATATAT